TAAATGGTTGGATGCTGGTAAATATGTAGTATATGTATATGTTATGTATAATAAGTGTTGTTGTTTTTTGTTCCTTGTTTTACTGTAATTATACAGCCTCTGACGAAGGCCGCAATACTATGGGGTCAAAATACATTGGGCTCGTTGCACAAGTTCCATTGATCTTTATGTGTTTTTACCAGTGTCATGCACCAATAGGTTTCCAGCGCTGAGTCCTACTACTGGAATCCTAGTGCAGTCCTTAGCTATAATGCAGCTGATGTATATTCCCAGGTGAACCAGTTATAGTTCAAAATTCTCCTACCAGAGTATGGAAGCTCTGGAGTTTTTTTAACAAAGATAATGAAGCTCATTTACAAGTGCACACTATGTATTTATCATTACAGTTCATACTTCAGTTGTGATGAAAACAGCGAGTAATTGCTTCTTGCATGTCCAGTACAGTTTAGCATCCTGGTGGAGAAAATCTTGTGTGTTTTCTGCCTCTGCCAACTTGTTTTTCTTTTGTAGTGACTACAGGAAAAGAAGCTTTTTCCTGCAAAGCCAGATAAGTTTGTTGCAGATGTAGAAAATGATTAATGCCTCATTTGCCAGGCTGTTGCATTTGTAGGCACAAAAGATGATAATTATGGGGCTCTTTACAATTAAGACCCCTACCTGATTATCCAGCAGGCACAGAGTTTGGAAATGTATTCTTTTTTTTATACTGGATTGAGAGCTCAGTCCCATTACCAAAATTAATAGGCCTTGAACCTGTTTTTTAAAAAGTTGACTACACGGAGCACAAGGAAGCTCAGATTTCTCCCCTCCCTCAGGAAGCGTTAAGAAAACAACAACAAAAGCAAAGTATTTTACTGGCCAGGAAGATGGCAGTTTAATTTAACTCACTTTTAAAAATCTTTTTAGTGCAAATCATTATGAGAATATGAGGGCTTCTCTCTCCTTCTTCACTGGATCTCTCTCTCTCTCTCTCTCTCTCTCTCTCTCTCTCTCTCTATCTATCTATCTATCTATCTATCTATCTATCTATCTATCTATCATGTGTTTGTTTATGTTCACCTGTGTTGGGATGAAGTCTCATCTTGAGTGAGGTGAACTGGAAAAGCCTGAGATGCAGAGTTGGAGCAAACAGTGGTGAGATGCATAGCCCATCTCTGCCTACAGATTGGACAGTATATATATACGTATATGGTAATTGAGTCAATTGCTATCTTCAGTCAGGTGCTTGAGTTAAAGTATTATCATATATGAAAACTGTGGATTGGAAGTCCAATGATTCTGAATGAAACAGTATGAGGATGAGAACAGTCTGTATGCCTTGAAGTTTTGTGTGAAAACTGTTGACTATTGTTTTTAGAAAGGCAATTTGCAACAGGCAAAAGTTGAGGATTTCCACAACTTCTAAATTTTGCACTGAGGTTGAACTTGAAAAAGACATATTCTTCCATCTTCTCATAAAAAGGGGGAATTGTTTTATTTTATTTATTTAATAAAATAAATAAATATATGGCCTGTTTGGATATATCTGGGAATCATCTGAAAACAAAACAGAGTTTTTCTCTTTCAGGAAAAAAAAAAGTATTTTGTGTGAACTTATCCCGCTACTTAAGACATGATGTAGTTGGGAAGCTCTACTGCCCTCTTATTACTCTCCTTGTTCCAACCACTTTTTATATACTCGATATTTTATATAGTTGATATCTCTATCTATGTATATCTTTAACTTCTATGAGTATATATTGATTTTGTGTATTGTTCTTATTCTATATATTTATCTTGCAGAGCCAACAACTTCTCCTACTACAGGTAATTTAGATATGTTTGCTATTGATGTATGGATGTCTGTTTCTAGTTTTGTAATGAACTTACTTTTTTTAAAATATAGACTCTTTTGCAAAATCTTAATACTTCAGATTAATTCATAAAGCTAACTCATGGTTAAGCTTTGGTACAGATTAGGTATATACCTAGGTGTACCCCCTAATAAAGGCTTGGTATCTACAAGAGAAAGCATGAGCATTCCAAGACATTACACTTCTTCCTACCTAACATTTACTTTCACATCAAATGTTCTTACAGTATAGTTTTATATTGACTCTTCTATAACCAAAAGAGGTTTTAATGCTTTCTACTCTTCAAGTAATTCACCATTTGGTGAATATGTGTATACACACATGTACAGACATTTGAGAGTGTGGATCGAGTTTGAGTTTGGTTTTTAAAAAAAACTTTACTTCCATTTTCTAATCATAGAAGCAAGCCTTTATATTATAAGGCAGGCTTGCAAGCAATTCATGTCTTTCCATTCTATAAAATATGAACATAAAGTTCATGAATGGCATACACACTTTTAATATTTTTCCGCAGCACTCCGTTTGGTGAATGGTCGTCATAGCTGTGAGGGCCGTGTTGAACTGAGAGTGAACTATACATGGGGGACTGTCTGTGATGATTCATGGGACCTGAACGATGCAGATGTTGTGTGTAGGCAGCTTGGATGCGGAGAAGCCCTGTCAGCTCCAGGATCAGCACTTTTTGGTCAAGGTTCTGGTCCTATTCTCATGGATGATGTTATTTGCAATGGGAATGAATCTTATCTTTGGGAATGTCAACACAATGGCATTGGAAATCATAACTGCGGCCACAATGAAGATGCTGGGGTCATCTGTTCAGGTACCTTCTGGTGTAATATATATCTTTTATATTTATATATTAACTTTTTTAAAAAATGGTCATCTTGGCTAAACAGAGGGAGTATTGAATCCTAGCCCTGAACTCTCCCGCACCAGTTTTATAAGCCAATGGATTCTTCAGGTGTGTCATAGTCAATAAAGAATGATATAATGTAATCCTCCAGAATTTTAGGAATTGTAAGATTCCTTTAGTCTCTAAGGGGAGAGAAGGGAACAATGTTGTAGATCCACATAAATGGGACCCATTAGTTAAAAGGGGGAAGGGATTGTGCGCTGCTCCCCCTCTAAATATTCTGAAAATTTATCCTGTCCATGTTCTGTACAGCCCTAGATGGTGGTCCTTCAGATACAGATGCCATTATAGCACAACAGATCTCCATTCAGATTCGATTTTGTTTTGATATCAGGGAGGGCAAAAAGAACTGGTGTTATTTCCTTCATAGGGAGGGAAAACACTTGCCTATTGCATTAGAATGGGAGCAAAAGTTCCCAGCCACAGTACAATACAGAAAAACTGACAATATTGTCTTAAGATCTATGAAGAAATGTGTTTCTTTACCCAATACCCATCTTGAATGAGGGCCACCAGTACCCGATGTGGGTGAACATTCATCTCTTTTCCTAAGACCCACTAGAAATATACAACATTTTAAAACTCAGCTGACATTACATATTCCTGTCCCTATTGGATTTACCGAGGAGCAACCTTTGCATTTACAGAAAACATGACCCCTGGTGTAAGATGAAACTGCTAACTCTCACCATTCACCTGCCATTCACTAAAACCCTCTGTATATTTTCCCTACTTCTCTGCCATTTCTCCCCCAATACTCATCTCCTATAATTTTCCAGAAATCCTCCAACACTCAGTTAACACTTGCTGGAGATGAGCATTGGCTGAAGCTTGTACTGAGGGCAGGGTGAGGGCTGTTTTGACAAAAGTTGCTATTTAAAATCTGCCATCAGCTACAACTTCATTTGCTTAAAGAATCATCCAGCAGGTGGCTACAAATGTAGTTCCCTGTGGCTTTGGAGAAGGAATTATATGTCTAAAAAACCTATAGAAATGCCACCAGATGTCAGCATCCAATCACAATTTAGTAATGCTTATGGCGGCATACATATTTTTAAAATGAAAGTGAAGAATTATAGTTTTAGATGTGGAGACAACAGCTCTTTTCTGTCATTAAAAAAGGGAATCAATAAGAAAGTGTGAACAAAGGAAAGGTTTTAATCTCTGTCTCCCTACCTGTTGCTGTCTTTACATGAAGAAGAGCAGTCTAAAGAGGAGATAGTTACCCATGAAGCCTCTCTACATGATCAGAAAAAATAATTTTCAGGATTCCCAGTCACATGGAGAGAATCTATGTATAGCATAAACTTTCCTCTTCAGTCAGTCCTGTGGTGACAGTGACAGGAAGGAAGTGGGTCTAGAACTCTCTCCTTCATCACATTTGCAAATTAACTCTTTCTAATTGCCTCATTAGGGCATATGTGTCCTCCATTCAAATCCACCTTTCCTTCATATTTTATTCTAACCCATGAAGAATCATAAGAGTATCATATCACATCACACCAACCAGCCTGAAGTGGAAGCAGTAGTGTTTCTGGGATGACCAGAAGATGAAGTCCCCTCTTTTTCCTATTTTACTGTTAACAAATAATGATTAGGAATTCAAGTAACTGCATGAGCAGTTGATGGGGTTTGTTGTCCCCTTTGTATATTAATTTATGTGCAGAATGGCACAGCAGAGAATCTTACCTTGAATAAAGTTATTTATTTTGCAAAAGCACAATTCACATTTAATTCATGTGAGTCAACTATTTCTTTCTCAAGTAGTATATATTTACATAGTCCAAAAGTATAACAGATTTTAATTGCTTATTACTTGTTTTGGTTGCTTTTAAATTAGTTGCTTGAAGCCTCTGGAATTTCAGAGCTCATCAATCCTTTAACAGGTTTTGTTTGTCTGTTTTCTCTCACCCATAAGGAAACATCCATGCTGACTCCTCTTGCATCATCTGGCAGTATATCTTCATTCTAATGCTCTTGCTTGCTTGCTTCTACTGCTACTGCTTCTTTTATGCTGATCTTACTCAGAGACGCTTGGCGTTTCTCAAGGTCAATTAACTCATTAATCTCATCTGCCATTTCCCCTTGTAGCTTTACAGAGCAGAAATGCTCTTTGCAAAATATAACACCAACAGCAGTTACTTGTAAGCTCTACTGACTGGCAAAACATGGCAGCTATACTTTACTATGTCACAATTAGATCCATATTTTGAAAGTAGAAATGATTATATTAGTGATCGATGCTACAGTGGGGTAAATCCAACTGTTAGTTACAACTAGAGTTGGCCCACTGAATAAATAGTGGCAAACTGTTTAACCAAAATTTTGATCCTAACTGGTGCCATATAATGTTGAACTCCTCTTTGCCCCATTCTCCAGGTAATATTTTTGTTTTTCATGATTTTGTACCTCCTCATTGGTGTTGGTTGTGTCTCTTCCCCCCTGTGTATTTGTATAATGCCATTAAAGGTATATTGTATCATATCGAATACGACTTATTACATTTGCTTCGCTTCCCTGCTGCAGACTATAGAACAGCCTCAGGGTGGAAGCAAATAGGAATCCACACATGCCTTCTAGCTTGCGGCACTACTAGCTTTGTAACAACAACCCCAACAACCATGACCCTCCTTTTTACTCTGAGGAAAGCCTCCCAATGAATGAAAAGCAGACCAGTAATTTTTTTAAAAAGGCTAATGACTGTTGTGTGCTTTGCACAGCACTGGGGGAAATACATCTAAAAAACAAAACAAAACACCACAGTATCAAAAGATACTGTTTGTGAATGAGTATTGGCGTTGCACGCAATTCTAATTACATTGTTTAAATATTTGCAAAGTACTAAAGGCTCAATCTCCTTTATTTTTCAGGTCATCACTACACAACAACAGGTAATGACTCTTTAAACAAATATACAGAGTTCTTTTCTCTCACTGAAGTAAAGAAATTATTGCATTTGCGTAAGGCACTAGGTTAAGAAAAATCCAACATATTGATTTATTATTATTTGTTGTTGACAAAAAATGTTGTCAGTGATTCAAGTACTGTAGCTGAATCACAATATTTCATTATTTACAATGCAGCAGGTATTGCTCAAATTACGGCAAGGGGCAGCTGTCTGTCAAAGAACACTGAATTCAAGAAGGCCTGCTCTAACTATTGAGCTATACTATTCTGGTTGGCCTGGTGTGAGTGAAACCAGGAGGGCCAAATCTCCTGATGGTTGAGGGAATCCACCTGCCTGTCACCCGCTCAACAGTCCCTGAGATTTCAAGGGCCAAACTGAGAGGCTTGAGAGGGGGTCCCTTGAAAAGTGTGAGAGGGAATAACATTTTGGTGTCATAGGGAGGAGGCCATTCAGCAAGTACTGAGAAATGGGGACTTTAAAGGCCCAGTGAAAGGCTGCCTCCCAGATACTTTGGGGAGAGGTCTGCAGGCTGAAGACTATGATACACAACACATCACTTAAAGAAAGAAAAAAAATGTCTTTTTAAAACCAAAGTAAAGAGAAGAGTTTATTTGAATCCATTAGTCAAGCATGAGGAAAACTGCAATTGTGTCAGGATGAGTCCCGAATCCAGTTCAGGGTTGCCTTGTTAGCAACACCTCATGTCTGAGGCTTTAAGGACAAAGTTTGAGACTTGAAGAATGAACCCCAAAGCCTGTAATGGTCAAAACCCAAGAATTTAGTATCGACACCTCATGCAGGAACCTGACATTTTCTGCCCATTTGTTGGGCAATGTATTCTATTCATAAACTGCTCATGGCTTTCCAGTCACGTCAATATATCTTTATTGTTTATTGTCCAACCTTTCCATGGCAATATCCTGTGCCATCTTCATCAGGGAAGGCAAGATATCAATTAAAACAAGGTAAAGATAAAGGTTCCCCTTGACAATTTTTGTCCAGTCGTGTCCGACTCTAGGGGGCGGTGCTCATCCCTGTTTCCAAGACATAGAGCCAGCGTTTGTCTGAAGACAATCTTCCGTGGTCACATGGCCAGCTGTTACCTTCCCACCAAGGTGGTCCCTATTTATCTACTTGCATTTGCATGCTTTCGAACCACTAGGTTGGCAGGAGCTGGGATAAGCAACGGGAGCTCACTCCATTGCATGGATTCGATCTTACAGCTGAAGATCTACAGACCTTACAGCACAGAGGCTTCTGTGGTTTAACTCACAGCGCCACCACGGCCCCTAACTAAAACAAAGCTAACTTTAAATACAACGTTCTATTATCCAGCTCTTCTGAGCATAGTACTTCCTTCCTCAAAGCTAATGCATTTATTTGTTTTTCTGTAATTTGGATCCAACTTTTATTAATGACATTGGGGAAAAATTGTAGGTATTTCTTCATAGATTACCTCTTTCATATATAATGGGCTCTAATCCTAGTAAAGGACATACTTGAAGGAAGTATCTGTCAATATTTTCAAAAACGAAAAGGAAGAAACAAAAGGTAAACATTCTTCTTGTTTGCAAAAACTATGGTAAATTTATGCTTTCTGAATATAGAACCCATGGAAGATCTAGTGATAATCTTATTGCTCTGCACATTTCATCATTACATCCCCATCAGAAGTTGGGGAAAGAGCCTCCTTGCTGCCAATATGGGACAGTTCTTGAAAGTTACATCATATGCTATATGACAAAGAAATTGATTCTTTTTCCCCCTTGGAAACTGTCCATTAACACAATTGGAGGTGATTGACAACAGAGAGTGACTTTTCCTTGAAAGCCCTACTGATTTTGCAGCAGTTGCTCAGCTCACTCTCCTTGCCCTTCCTTTCTACCCGTGGTCCCAGTTGACGTTAAATTAGTGAAGCCCAGATCTGCAATCCTATAACTCCTGTTTTGGAAGGAAAAGGAGTGGGGAAAGAAGCATGTAGCTGTAGCATGTAACATGTGCATGTTTTAACATGGGGGGGACACATAGCGATTCATAGTGGTTTCATGTGTGGATTGGGAATTTCTCCACTTACTTGAAAGAAAAAAGATGTTGGAGCTCATCTTGATTTCATTGAATCCTAAACAAACCCAGTGAGCGAATACATTGGGCAACTTATAATATCTATCTATTTATCTGTGCACATCATTAAAATAAATATGTAAAGATAAATGTTTTTCTCCTTGTTTGTATTTCATATCTATTCCCTCCCCTTTTTTGAGAATTGTATTTAAGTGCTAATATCATATCCGTTTGATTCTGGCATCTGGTTCTGAAGTATAGCTGTTGGTGTTGGAAACACATCTGTTGGTTTCTAGCATCTGTGCCTCAGCACATCCCAGTGGGTGCCTCAAAAATGTGGAACATCCTCCACTCATATGTGGCAACTCACAAGATTTTATCTACTTTATCTAGCCCTTGCTGCCCTGATCTGTCACTTGATGAGTTTCAATTTTAGTTCTATTTTGTTGTTGATTGTATTTGGTTTAGTTTATATATGGCTGTATACATTTTATACAATAAATTACACTTTTCACTTTAATTTTGAAAAGCATATAAATATGACAAAGTGTGAAGTAATATCCAAAATCCTTAAAAGTGAAATTACAATAATTTACTGATTAACATACTTATGCTTTCTCTTTCTTTCTCAATCCCCACCCCTATTTTTACCTTTAGTAAGACCGACTCCTACATGGTGGCCACGTACAAGTAATATTTAATTTTATAACTTTATATTTTTATAATTTCATGTGTTACTTTGTCTTAATTCTCACCCTGTATATTACAATATGGCATGACAAACTCTGATTTAGTTTTGTTTTTATTTTGCTACTAAAATGATCAACATCTAGTCATAGAATAAGGACTGCATTGTCCACCATTGTGAAGAAGGTTACATACTGAATAAGTCAGGTTCCTCTAGGAATTTGCCTGTAAAAGTTGTTCAGTTTTGGCATTTAAAATAAATGTGAGGGAGGTAAATGCTTACAGGGGCAAGGAAGTCCTCTTGCCCCAAACGTCCCCACACATGTTGGTGCTGCCCACTCTAATCCAGCCTTCTCATGAGAGGGTGTAAAGGTATGAAGAGGGATTCTTCAGAATGCTTCCAACTCTGAACACTCTTAGAATCCTACCCTAATCAGGGCCCCAATAATGCCTGATCAGAGAAGCATCGTGAAGTGTGTCCAGTTCACCTCATTGAGGCTCAAATGATAAGTTAAGAGAATTACCGGTGTGTACTTTCTGTTAGTGGTTGTTGTGGGTTTTTTGGGCTCTTTGGCTGTGTTCTGAAGGTTGTTCTTTGTAACATTTTGCCAGTCTCTGTGCTGTCCTCTGAAGATGCCGGCCACAAAGACTGGCGAAACGTTACAAAGAACAACCTTCAGAACACGGCCAAAGAGCCCGAAAAACCCACAACAACCATTAAGATCCCAGCCATGAAAGCCTTCGCAAATACTTTCTGTTACTTTTCTCAGGGTAGGCAGCTTGTTCAAAACCCTGTGCCTGAACAATGAGACCATCAACTGAAGCCAGTGTTTAGCTCCCAACGATCAGCCATAAAACAAAAGCAATCCATTTTTGTGGATTAAGACAAGCTCAAGCTAAGATAAACAATCACCTGTCACTTCTTAAGGGATCTTGCTAATTGTATTATTTAGTTTTGCCTGTTTGATTCCCATTTTGACTCTTTTGTGACAGATTGAGGGTGGTGCCCGGCATCCACAGGAACATGGGAGCTAGTGGATTTACACCTGTCATGTTTTATTGACTCTCTGTCTCTGGACACCAGGATTAATGAATCAATGTCAGCCAAGCCCAATTTCAAAACACTGGGCAAGGCTGAAAGAAGAACACTGAAATTTCCCCCCCTCAGAAAGAAGGACAAGATGGAACTTTATGTTCTGGATTCTAGAAATGATCAAGTGTAGATACTTAGATGTGTTACAGTTGAAATCCATCATATCCCCATCCTCCAAGACATTATGTGTTGTGTGTTTTACACTGCTTTCTTAGCATCAGCAACAAATTATTCTTGTGGCGGTTACCTTGGACATCCATCTGGGACACTCCAAAGCCCACTTTATCCTTTAAACTACCCAAACAATGCTGATTGTGTGTGGGAAATACAAGTGGGAGGCAACACCCGTGTAACACTTACAATCCAAAATTTAATGTAAGTAGATGTCTAATACAAAATGCTACCTACTCTTCATGTCAAAATCAATCTTGAAAGAAATATTATTATACATGCATAGTTCGAATGCGTACAGTATTTTGCAAAATATATTGCTGGAAGACAACAGATTTGACTGGAGCTGTCCAATGTCACCATGGCTGAATCCAAGCTCCTTGAGTCACAGTCTGAGGTCTTCATGCTTTTCTTCACCACCTCTCTGGAGAAGCATGGAGTCAGTGGACCTATACACATGCCAAAATATATTCTCTCAAAAAATGACCACCACATTCTTTGTTCTTCTATCATTGGTGTCGTATGTGAGTATTATATCCTCAACTTTTGTATCAAGGGCATCTTTCTTGTCATACACAGTTGAGGTCAATAGTTAATTTCGAGAAACAAGAAAGAACCCATGGCTGAAGATTGTTTGGAAATTACCCTGCCTTGAATTGTGCCTTGTAACTCCAGGTGCATTGTAAAAAAACATTTATTCACTGATGATTGCTCAGATTAGGCCTTTTTGGGGAGTCTGTTTCTTTCACTCCTAGTTTATTGATCTAAGAGCTCACTTACATCACTGAGTATGTATGAGGAATGGAGCATTGTGCTGGTAAATGTTAGCAATGGAAAAATAAGCCAGGAAATGCTTCTGTATTAGTATTTGTCACAATGTCAACCAAAAAGCAAAGGTAAACAATGTGGCCCCCCACAAAAAACCTGCCACTCTCTCCCTATCCCATTCAGTCCATGACAAGACACTCAATGAAATGCTTGATCTGAAACAAATTTGGCCCAGCCCTGATCTGGGAATATTTCTTTAGCATCATGTTCCCAATGAAGAAATAAATAGTCAGTGTCCACCTCTAGAAATATGGAATTAATTGTAAATGTTGATTCTGCTTCATGATATTCAAGTTAGTACTGTATATTATCTATGCAAATCAACTCCATGTTTGTTGTTTCCAGACTAGAATTATTTGACAAGTACAGTTGCCCATGCTATTTCATAGAAATCTATGATGGACCACTCCACACGTCTCCACTGCTTGGAAGGGTATGTTATGGCTCCTACCAAACCTTTACTTCAACCTCCAACATGATGACGGTGAGGTTCCACAGTTGTCTTCTACTGCCTCCTAGAGTTGTGTCAGGTTCATGTTGGTTGCTTTGCAGACCAATGGAAAAATGGAAAAATAAGCAAGGAAATGCTTCTGTATTAGTATTTGTCACAATGTCAACCAAAAAGCAAAGGTAAACAATGTGGCCCCCCACAAAAAACCTGCCACTCTCCCCCTATCCCATTCAGTCCATGACAAGACACTCAATGAAATGCTTGATCTGAAACAAATTTGGCTCAGCCCTGATCAGGGAATATTTCTTTAGCATCATGTTCCCAATGAAGAAATAAATAGTCAGTGTCCACCTCTAGAAATATGGAATTAATTGTAAATGTTGATTCTGCTTCATGATATTTATGTAGCATATTATCCATACAAACTAAGTCCATGTTTGTTATTTCCAGACTAGAAACGTGTGACAGATACAGGTGCCCATGTGATTTTGTAGAAATCTATGATGGACCACTCCACACGTCTCCACTGCTTGGAAGGGTATGTTATGGCTCCTACCAAACCTTTACTTCAACCTCCAACATGATGACGGTGAGGTTCCACAGTGACAGTGCCATCACGGCAAGAGGATTTTTTGCAAACTATTACACCATCCCCGCAGATCAGAATACAAGTAAGTGTAACCATGGTTGTTAGTTTCCCCTCCACCCTTTCTTTCTTTATAGGATCATTGTTGACATTGATGAGTTCCTTTGGAGTTATCGTGGCTGTCTTTATTCCCTCCATACAACACATTTCACACCTTTGCTGTTTTCAAGCCTGTCACAGATCTTGATGGTGGATGCCTCTTGATGGCTTGCTTGCTTGCTTGGGAATATAGGTTCCCAGGCCTCCTAAGAGCCATACATTATAGAATCAGGCTGGAGGTTGGGATGAAGTAATTACTTCCTGCCTGAAGTGCCTAAGGCATAACTAAAGTTATGACCAACTTATCTGAGGCAGGAAAGAGCTGGATTGTCCTAAACAGTATGCCTGGTGTCATATGTCATGTGGCATGAGCCTTGTTTCCACATGTAAAGATCAAGTGGTTTCAGGGCATGAAACCACACCATACCTGAAGTGATCCTGTTCATGCTCTTCCTTCCTTTAAAGGGAAAGAAAGAAAAACAAAAACAAAACAAAATATCTCCCATCTTGTCCCCTCCTGACAAGAGGGGGAGTGGAGGGAAGCTTTCAATGTAACCAGTTATTTCCTACAGTGGCAAAGCAAAGTGACAGCCAGCCACCTGCTTTGGTTTGATCCGAGCGATCACATATGCTGAAACCAAACCAAAAAGGAGAGTGATCCTACATTCACTAAAAAACCCAGGGACCTAAAAGGGTATGGATAAGCATGGATGAAGGACAGGTTCATTTGTGATTGCCCATCAGTCCCAGGGCTGAGTGGTTAAACTGCAGTGGTTAAACTCTGCTCACCACCTGAGTTGGATCCTGATGGACTCAGGAAGCTGCTTCAGGGTCACCTCAACTTTCCATCCTTCTCAGGTTGGTAACTGAGTACCCAGCTTGCTGAGGGGCAAGGTGTTGTTCGCATAATTACTGTATGTTGTAAACTGCCCAGAGAGTGATGTAGCATTATGCAGCTATAAGTCAACCAAGCACTATAAGTCAAACAACAACAACATATATCATGTGGTTGCCAGAAAAAGGAGCAAACCAGCCTGTTTCCAAAGCACACCAACCCATGCAACTCTATCAACATGCACATGGAGTTACATTTTTTTACCCTCCCTACAATTGCAGCATAACAAGAGATCAACCCATTCCTAAAACTATTTTAGTGACTTTTTTGCAAGCCACTAGCCTTGCTGCTGGTGGGTTTCTGTGACTTGTAGTCCCGGAAAACTCACTTTCCTCAACTCTATTGATGACTGCATTCAAAACAAACAAGAAAACTCACTTTCCTCTATTGATGACTGCATTCAAAACAAACAAACAAACAAACAAACAAAACAAGAAAGATTGTGTTAACATTGCGCCTTGTCTGTTTCAGAGTTTTGTACTAATAATGCTTTCTTTTTCCTCTTGCCAGATCTTTTCTGTTTACCAGAGTACATGCAGGCTATTGTCAGTAGAAGATACTTGGAAACCCAGGGTTATTCTCCATGGGATGTCCACCTGATTGACCCATACTGCAGACCAAAGATCACACCGTTTTACGTCATCTTCAACATACCGTACAATAGATGTCAGACCAGAAGAGATGTACGGAGATTTGTGAATCAGTTCTAAATGTCCCTCCATCAACCTCCCATCCTTCCTTCCCTCCCTCCTTCCAACCCTCCCGATATGCTCCCTAGAACTAAAACATACACCCAAGGTTTTGAGAGTATAGCAGATGAACCATAAGGGATAGTTTTGCTCTCTTTCTCAAGAGGTGAACAATTCAATTTTGAAAGAGGTTAGAGCATGAGGATCACTGTGACATTACCTAAGATGTTTGAAAAGGTGCTTCTGGAATGGGGAAAATTATTGCATAGGACTGGAGTTCTGCTATCTTGGCTGTGTGGAAAGGAGTTAGGGTGTGTAGAAGATCCCTTGCTCAAAATGTAACTTGATTATGGAACCTTAGTTGTTTCTTATTCTGGTTCCTTCCAGCATAGAGACTTTGTTCTCCCCCATGCTGTAATTGAATAGAGAGACCAGTCAATTGTTTAAATATATGGAATGTGCAGAACTGAAGTAGAACACTTTAAGGAATCTATATAAATTGTAAATGATGAGAAGCCATAGTTAGTTTGTTATTATGTTCTTCATCCTGTCTTCCAAGTATGTGGACTAGGCTTGCCTTTCCAACAACAAACAATATAGTGTGAATTTTTGTATGGTATGAAAAACATTTATGGATAACTAGCCTGGGTTTGAATCCCTGCTCAGCCATGGAATCTCAGTGGGAGAGTGGAACTGGCAAAATCTCTCTCACTTACTTTGAAAGCCCTTTTAGGGTTCCTATAAGTTGGTTTGTCTTGAGAGCACATAATAACAATGAAAAATAGATGGTGTAATACAAATACAAGGAAGCAAGTAATGCAAGAGACCCTGGAATTGGATCAGTCCACATAGTTTTGAAATATCAAATGCACATTATTTCTCTACCGATGAAATATTTGGCTTTAGATAATAAAAATCGCTGTGTAATTTAGTAGTTTACAGATTTCATGTCCAGAGCTTAGAATTGTCATAGATATAATGGTCAAAATCCTACTGTGGTTTTTGCTGCAACTTGGCAGTCAATAATAAATGCGTGCACACACACACAAACACACAGAGAGAGAGAGAGAGAGAGAGAGGGAGGGATGGAGAGTTTGTCCTAATTGATCAGGTGATGGGCACATACTGGTCGTGTACCCAGTTGATAGACCTATTCCAGTTGAAACTAATGATTGGATTAAGCCAATTTTTTAAATCGTACCTCCACTGTTGATACCAGCAAAGAAAAAGACTTCTCTTTGTTCTCTTTCATGTTTTGAACAGGCTGATGCTGACACTATTATTTACTCCAATCTCATTGCGGCAAGTGCTCCAGGTGCTGTAATTAAAAGAAGAAAAGATCTTCACTTGCATGTCAATTGCAAAATGCTTCAACATACTTGGATAGAAACAATGTATGTTGCTGATGACGCAGAGGAGTACAACAAAACTCAGTATGGCCAATACGATGTCAACCTTACATTCTTTGGTTCATCTTCCTTCTGGCGTCCAGTGTATGACACACCTTACTATGTGTCATTGGGTCAGGTTTTATTTTTGCAGGCTTACCTTCACAGCTCTGACTCTGAACTTCAGCTATTTCTGGACACTTGTAAAGCATCACCCAATTACAACGATTTTACATCACTGACCTACACTATAATTGAGAATGGGTAAGGAGTTGAAACACTGTGTTCTAAAATTGTCTGTCTGTTTATTTGAGTAGAAGATGCATGAATTTTGATTGCTTTTGATTTGATTTTGTTTTCATTTTCAGAATATGTGTATGTGGTTAGATAGCTATGGTATTAGACTACCTATTATAACCATCGCAAATTAGGAATATCAAAGAGAGGGATTATAGCAGTCTGGATTCATCCCCCTATATATCTCTGTCTCTGTCTCTGTCTCCCAACAAGAAACAATATGGAATGGATAATTTTACCATAGATTCCTTATTTGGTAGACGGACAAATTGTTAGTAGTAGAACAGTTAAATTAGCATAGTCCTTAGTGTGCTAATATAGTTGCACAGCTGACTGACTGAAGCTTGCTTTATTTAAAAAACCCTTCTTCTGTCTGGATTTCTTATGTCAATCCTTCTAAAATAACAATATCTAAATTATGCTAAGCTGATTTCCTTGAGCAGAAATGTTTTTAACACCTCTTTATTAACTAAGATGTTCCTTGCTCATATTTACAACATTTATAGAATCACTGCATTCCATAGAAAATCAGGAGAGAGAGAATTTGGCATGTATTTGCCACTCTCAGGAAAGTGAAACTTAGATTGGTCTTTTGTTTGAAGTTCCCTTATGCAACTGACATTGTGAAGGTGAAGATTACAGACTTCTTTGGCTTTCCTGGAAGATTAAAAATATGTATTTTATGAGATTAAGTCTTGTAAATTAAAGGGGTGGTAAAAACTTGAAAGATAAGTTTACTGTATACAATTAAATTCTGAATAAATAGAACATTTTTCAATGGAATTGCATTTTGCTCCTCTTCCAAATAGCTGAGCTTACTTCATGATTCAAGTAAATCTATCAGCTAAATGGATCAGACTTCTCTGCTTCATCACCAAAACACCATCATGTGTTCCTCAGCCATAATTAGAATATGATATATTAGAATAACATATGTATAATAGTATGCAGTGGAAATAACTTGCTGGATATTTGGTCTCACTTTATAATATATCAGGCAAAAACAAAAGGGAACCAAAAAACCCCAAGGTGACAAAGTCCCACTGTGCACGGGAAGGTGGGACTCTCAGTGCCAGCTGGCCATGGCAAACTGTACGCTAACCCAGGATCAAACAAGCAGCATGGCTCTGAATGTCAGTTGCTGGGGAATACAAGCAGGTGGGTGCCGTTCATCATTTGGCTGGTCATTATGGAACCAGAACATGGGCTCTTCTCAACTTCTATCTTAGATGCATTTGCTTCTCCTCCTTCTTTACAAGCTGGTTCTGATGACCCTCTTTTATACAGATATATCCAAACATATATCCAATATGAGCAGGGAGAATCGAGATCAGATCCTTGCTCCTTGAATCTCATCTCCAGCACAATGTTTTATGCTGTCATTTTGGCAAGGGCACTTCATGAGGAACCTGCCAATCTTTTTTGTCTTTCTCACATGCCCACATTATTGTATTTTTATATAGTTTTGTGTAGTTTCTGTTTATTTGGGTAAAAAGAGTTTTTTAATCATTGATTGTTGGAGAACAACTGAAAAAGAAAGGAACAGATTATAGCCTTATTTCTCTTCCTCCTAACTGTGTAACATTTTGTTTTAATAGCTCAGTCTTTAAGTTCAAGTTAAATATAGCAATATAGGTATGTTCCAGGAATCAAAGGTACTGATATTTATACTGATGAGGATGAACTTTGTTCCCTTAATAATCTGATGTTGAGTAAATCTGGATCTATCCTATTACACTGAAACAAATAGAGCTTTTGTTTCATTGCTGTTCAAGAGGATTCCTTTTTTCTAACGTGATTGTGTGTACTGCCAATTAATGCAGGCTTTGTTGTTGTTCTGTTTCTGTACAGATGCATCAGAGACCCTACCTACCAGACATATTATTCACCAAGTAGAAATATGCTTCGTTTTTCCTTCCAAGCCTTTGACTTCATTCGCAGCTATCCATCCGTTTACCTGCAGTGTAAAGTGGTGATATGCAGAGCGTATGACTATAACTCCCGATGCCAGAGGGGTTGTGTGAATCTGCCCAGATCTAAAAGAGATACAAGCTCCTATCAGGAAAAAGTCAATGTCATTCTTGGGCCAATTGAACTGGAAGAAAAGGGCTTACAGAACAGGAATTCTGGTAAGCCAAAGCAATGCTTCTCATAGAGTTTGTTCACGCCTTTTTATTCTATGTCAGTGGCTGTCATCATTGAGCTGTGGGGAGTGTTAAGGCAGAACAAATACTGTACTATATGTGATGAGAGAGGGAGAGGCACTGGGAAGCAGGGTATAATTTGAAATATTAATAATGATCGCTATCCTGACTAGCACTCCATCGGACCACTTAATGCATTTCCATGCCCTCCTTGCCCAGCTGTAGCTCTGGATGAAACTTTACTCTCCTGGATGTACTTTACTTTCCTGAATGTATGACCCTGTCATGAGACAAAGTAAGGCAGCCCCTGGTGAGAAAAGATTAGAGGTGGGGGAAAGTGTTAGGCAAGAGCCCCTTGCAAGACATGCGGCGAGTCTGGTGGTGGACAGCTTCTGCTACTGAAGTGTGCTCCTATGGCCAGTTCTCTCAGCTTCTATCTGTGGGCAGTTTGCAGACTAAGAGGGCAGGGGTACCTCACCCGTAAAACCTGGAGGGCTGCCCCTCTGTCCTGGTCACAGGCTGCCATAGCTTCTATGCAAAGAACAGGAAAGTGTCCACCTTTTCGTTTGCCTCAGGCTGGCTCTGTTCCATACGGCCTCCTTCATTTCATGCCTCCTCATCACAGCTCTGCCCCCTTTTATTTACCATGGTCCCAGCTGACACAGTGAGAACATAGGCCTAGGGCTGTAATCATTCCTGTTTCAGCCATCCATTAGCCCACTGCTTCTTTTACTTGTTGATCAGATCATTTTCCCGAAGGGTGAAAGTGAGGCAGTACCACCGTTTCAAAAGCTACTTGCAAACAAACGATGTTATGGAAGTCAGTGGCCTAGTGACTTGTAGGAGGTTGGTATCATGCACTTCAGTGATGACTCCAGCAGATAATGTATCACATATTTTCTCTTTATTGAATTGCAGAGACAGAACAAAAGCTGCAAGAAAATATGGAAACGCATGACTCTCATGTACCATACGTAGTTGCGGCTGTCATCCTGGCCGTTGTTGTTGCGACTCTTGCAGGATTTATTTTGAAAAACAAATGGAAAAGACCAATTCCATATGAGATAATGTGAAAGCTTAAAACCTCAGGGGGGGAATCCAATAAATAGATTTGAACATGATTAAACTCATTTATTTCTTTGGATTTGGATACAACTAACTGTTGTCTAGATTAAGAAGTTTGTGTTTGACAAGCAGATTTTCTGTACTGAATGCTATTGCTCAATAATTGTGAGCCACATTCCTATGACTTACTTAGGTTTTGCATTTATACAAAAGTAACAGGAAAATATGTGGCACATATATGGAGCTGTACAAGACAGCCATTCATCTGTATCAACAAGGATTAAATGTTGATGTGAAATTCTGCTTTGGCTGACTCTCAGTGCAGCTGTAACGAACACGTTTGTGGAATTCTTTTGCAAATATTCTTTGATTACAAATGAAATACATTTTTATTTCCTCTCTTTTTTCTAACTGAAAATTGTTGATAACTGCTAGATTGCTTTGAGTTTTGCTTGAGTGGTTCCCTTCTGTACTGGCAAGATAAATTACCAAAGCCTTGAAACCTCCTTGACCTCCATAAAACTCTATCCTTAGTATTCATTCATTCTTTGTACTTGCCTTACTACGTTCCTTCCTTACTTTATCAAGAAGACATCTTCTTCTCCATAACTCTTAGTACATGGCTCTAGGTTCATTTGCCTCTACCTGTTTCTTGCTTATGATTATTTCTTCATCTATCACACATTGTTATATTTTTTTTCCTGTGCTACTATAATTTATTAAACTTTCTCTGCTTTTTTAAACATTTTATTGAATTAATACACTATAAAACATACAGCTCACATCATCAAAAACACCAACCAAAAAACCCTCCTACTAAGCTAAATCATCCCCCCTTTGGAGTCAGAGACTCCAGCTTCGTTTGACTCCCTGTTCTCTCCAGCTGGGTTCCCAGTGTGAACTGAATACATATATATTTATTAATTACAATAAATATTTGATGGATATACGCAGAGATCCTGGACTTCATGATTTTATAGCTGTCCCTTCAGCAATTATATTCAATTCTGTAACATGCAATTAAAATTAGTCTTCTCTCTTTCCATCTTACTACCATTCCATGCTTTGCAACTTCTGTGTTCCTGACATGCTAGAGCAAAAAAAAACAAAACAAAATAAAACTTGTGGCCATCCTCCATTTGCAGTATATCACAGAAGTGAGTACACCCCCTCACATTTCATAAATATTTTAGTATATCTTTTCATGTGACAACACTGAAAAAATGACACCAGGCTACAATGTAAAGCAGTGAGTACACAGCTTGTATGACAGTGTAAATGTGCCGACCCCTAAAAATAATGCAACACATAGCCATTAATGTCTAAACCGCTGTCAACAAAAGTTAGTACACCTCTAAGTGACAATGTCCAAACTGGGCCCAAGTAGCTGTTTTCCTTCCCTGGTGTCATGAGACCCGTTATTGTCACAAGTCTGAAATGTGAAGGGGCAGCAGATGGTAACACTGTCACTCTCAGATTAGTCACTGGAAGTTCCACATGGCACTGAGGATCTGAAAAAATGAATTGTTGCTCTACATAAAGATGGCCTAGGTTATGAGAAGATTGCCAAAACTGTGAAACTGAGCTGCAAGCATTGTGACCAAGACCATACAGTGGTTTAACAGGACAGGTTTCACTCAGAACAGACCTCACCATGGTCGATCAAAGAAGTTGTGTGTCCATGCTCAGTGTCATATCCAGAGGTTGGCTTTGGAAAATAGACATATGAGTGCTGCCAGCATTGCCACAGAGGTTGAAGGGGTGGAGGGTCAGCCCGTCAGTACTCAAATTGGTCTCCAGGGCTGTCGTCCCAGAAGGAAGCCTCTTCTAAAGATGATGCACAAGAAAGAAACAGACTAAAGACATGCATCTCTGGAACCATATCCTGTGGTCCAATGAGAACTGCAGACAAACAGACTAAAGACATGCATTTCTGGAACCATATCCTGTGGTCCAATGAGACCAAAATCAACTTATTTGGTTCAGATGGTGTGAAGCATGTGTGGCGGCAACCAGGTGAGGAATACAAAGACAAGTGTGTTGTGGCTACAGTCAAGCATGGTGGTGGGAGTGTCATGGTCTGGGGCTGTACTCACTTTTGTTGCCAGCGGTTTAGACATTAATGGCTGTGTATTGCATTATTTTGAGGGGACAGCACATTTACACTGTTATACAAGCTGTATACTCACTGGTGAAGCATGTGTAGCGGCAACCAGGTGAGGAGTACAAAGACAAGTGTGTTGTGGCTACAGTCAAGCATGGTGGTGGGAGTGTCATGGTCTGGGGCTGTACTCACTTTTGTTGCCAGCGGTTTAGACATTAATGGCTGTGTATTGCATTATTTTGAGGGGACAGCACATTTACACTGTTATACAAGCTGTATACTCACTGCTTTACATTGTAGCCAAGTGTCATTTCTTCAGCGTTGTCACATGAAAAGATATACCAAAATATTTATGAAATGTGAGGGGTGTACTCCTGTGATATACTGTAAGTGAGAAATACTCTGAGCAGCTTCATGTTTTAGAATCACTGGAATCCTGTATCACATTCCAGACATTTTTGGGCCTAAGGTTTACATGAATATTGCAAATCCAATGAGAAATTTTAAGGACTTTGCCTTGATCTAAAAAACAAACAAACAAAACAAACAAGAAATGGGCAACAACAATTTGAGGAAGTCTCACTCAAGCTTGATATATACATGTTTCTTAGGTTCCATACATCAGAAAGGCACACTTGCAGAAACTGATTGGAGAAATCCCCACAAATTCTTGGCATTTCAAAAGCCAGTATTAAGATTGTTAATGTTTGCATAACCTTAAGTCTAACAGGGAAGTGAGGTCTTAAGGGGAATGCAAGAGAGAGAACTGATAGCACTTAAAATTGAAGTCTGTTATCTAGATCAAGAAAATTAGGGCCTGCACGTCTGTTCTTTGGAGAGTAGCAGCTCTCTATGTCTCATACTTTCCCCATTATAACTGGCAGAGCTAAATGAACAGAAGAAGGCTCAGATGGGTGAAGACAGGGTGCCAGAGAGAGTTGGGGCAAAATGTGTGTACATTCAGACATTCATATATGCCCACCTCACTCCAGTTCTGTCTTCCTTCTAATGGATGCCCATTGCATCCTATATCAGATTCAAGGTTTTGACACTCACATACAAAGCCCTCCATGGTTTGGGCCCATATTACTTGCCAAGCATTTTTCCTTAATGTCATTCACTCAACCCACATGATCATCCCAGCTGGGTCTCCTCTAGGTGGCCACCCCGAGGGAGGCCCATAAATACTCTAAAGGAGGTAGGGCTTTCTTTGCAGTGACTCCAACTTTACGGAATCAGCTTCTGGATGAATTCCATCTAGACCCCTCCCTGTTGACATTTAGGAAGCAATTAAAGGTGTTGCTTTTCAAGGAGGCTTTCCAAACCAACCTTAGTTGATCCCTCCCCCCCTTCCTCTGTCTGCTCTGGGTTTATATGATTAGTCTCTCCCATTTATTTTTAGGGTTGTTGCTGTTGATTTTCATGTTTTTATATTTATTTTTGTTCTCTGTTATACATGAGTACTGTATATAGTAGTGCCTTGGGACTAAAGGGAGTGGGATACAAATTGAATAAATAAATATAAATAAATATATCTCTCACACATAAAGCCAGGAAGGCAAGTACTTGCGTGCATACTGACTGAACAGGGATGGAAATAAATGGATTAAATGAGGAAAACCTGAGGCTTTGTGGGATATGTGTGGATGTTATGCCCCCTTTGCCCTAAGGGACTCTTTCTAAACTCAGACCACAGACTCTTTCCTTAGGATTTACCACCCACTGTGCTAAAGCAATTAGTGCCATATAGTTTATGAGGAAATTTCTCCTCACTACAACTTTAAACATAAGCATATATGTGAAAATTAGCCATTGTATACATAAATGAATAGGCAATATATTTTCTTATGCTATATAGCAGTGGTTCCCAACCTTGGGTCCCCAGACATTCTTTGGCTGCAACCTCCAGAAGCCTTCACCACTAGCTGTACAGGCGAGGGCTTCTGAGAGTTGCAGTTCAAGAATATCTGGGGACTCAAGGTTGGGAACCACTGCTCTATAGTATAGGATATCTCAGTGTATTTCCCAGTTCATTATGGGATTCAACCATTGCTTCAGAAGCCTAAAGACATACATCACTACCTTTAACAAACAGTACCATAAAACCATAAATCAATAAATCCACACACCTTCTGGAGAAAGAACACAGATGTCCTCTAGGATATATTCTGAGAAAAGAGCTTCAAAGGAATACCAAGTTAATTTCTTCTTTTATGGCCTTTTGTGTGTTTACCCATTATAACTATAACTGTACATCTTGTTTCTTCAGACTCTATTAGCTAGCATAATAAATACTTTCCTGAAAGAAAACTTCAATTCATGCCGCTTGGTTTACTGTAAGAAGAAAAGGCTTTATAGTTAAAAGAGCAACCACTGTAACAATGGGGATAAATATGAAATTATGTTCTGATGTTCAACATGTTTTCTTGAAAATAAATATTATTTTATTGAGAAGAATTAGATATAGTCTTGAAATGGCCCATCTTTACTGTCATTCCACAAGCAAGTGAAGACCTTTTTTTTTAAGTGAATGACTGCCGAGTGCAGTTTTTAAAATAGAATATTATACCTTACTGCATTGAACGTGTTTTGGTGCTACTTGCGGGTGGGTTTTGTTTTTGTTTTTGCATTGCATTCATTGGTCCTTTTGGTATTGTATACTCCTTGTTACTAATTACTATCTTTTAATTGTTGTAAGCTGTCTTGAATCCTTTTTAAAGAGAAAAGCAGGTTAAAAAGATGGATGGATGGACAGACAGATGGACGGATGGATGAACAGACAGACAGGTGGATGGAATCCAGGTCCATGACAGCCCAGATGCTGCATTTGCTACTACACATGGCCTGGCACTATCTAAATGGACCTTGTCAACCCTCAAGACTATGGAGCTCCTGAGTTGAGCCCCAAGGGCCAGTCCTAGTTGCATTTCTATATGTCAAAATCCCCAAGCATAACCTAAGTAAACAATAGGGCACAGATTGGTTCTGATTGTCATTTTCAAAACTCTGGATTTTGAAAGAAGGAAATTATGCGGAAAGACTTGTTCATTCTGAATCTTCCAGGCAGTTTTAGAAACAGAAGAAGTAAACAGCTTTGGGTTGTCCTCTTTCTTTTGGCAACATCAGTTGCTTTCCTGCACTTAGCTGTATTTCTAGGATCAAAGAAATACACTGAGAAAATGCAAAAGCTACAGTTT